TCAACAAAGAAAGAGAGTTGGGCCTGTTAGGGCATGCCTTTAATCCCAGCACTTGGGAGGCAAAAGCAGGCGGATCTCTGTGAAATCAAGGCCAGCCTGGTCTACATAGTGGTTTCCAGGCCAGCCTATGGTTACAAGGAAACCCTGTTTCAAAAAAGACAAAGAAACAAAGAAAGAAAGAAAGAAAATAAGTTAATAATGCAATTACCATAAAAGTCACCACTAGGGGGCTGGAAAGATGGCCCAGCTGTTAAAAGCACTTGCTCTTGTAGAGGACTTGGATTGGGTTCCCAGCATCCACATGGCCACTCCTAACTGTAACTCCAGTTCCAGGGGATCTAGCACCTTCTGGCCTCTGAAGGCACCAAGCATACACATGGTACACATATATGCATGCAAATAAACACACATCAAATAAAAAATAAAGCTTAAAAAAATAAGAGTCACCTTTGGGTTGCCTCTAATGAGGTGGGGGGCGGGGCTGGAGAGATGGCTAAGCGGTTAAAAGCACTGGCTGCTCTTGCAGAGGATCGGGGTTCAATTCCCAGCACCCACATGGTGGCTACAAACCGTCCTTAATTCCAGTTCCAGGGGAATCCGAAGCTCTCTTCTGATTTCTGCAGCATTGCACAACACAGGTGCACTCACACACAACTCATACACTTAAAAAATAATAAAAATAAAAATAAAAAATAAATAAATAAAAAAGAATGAGAGAGGAGACTACAGGGAGGACACAAGACTGGAGGGGTCTGCCCAGGACTGGTATTTGGTAGGTGGCAGCTATACAAGCATTTGTGTGTAACTATTCACTCAGGTGTGTAGACCTGTTTGATCCACTCTTCTCTACCTGTGTTCATCTAAGAAACCAGGTCTAATTTCCTGCCTGGCATTTGCACTGAGGTTGACAAAGGTGACTTCTCTCTCCTTTTCAGAAGCTGGAAACCTGCCTGGCTCCACTTAGTGGCTGCAGGCCCTGGGCACCGCCTTGGCTGGTCACCGGCCCTTCTCCCTGTGCCTCAGCTCCCAGCCCAGCCCCAACCACACGCTGTCCAGGTTGGTTTAAACCGCTTTATTGGGGTTGGCTGGTACAGGTCGGGTCATGTACACAGGGCCCGCTCACCCCTACGCAAAGCCCTGGGCCTCCTACCTCCCCTCCATCACCGAGGGTGGCCAGAGGTTTGAGCCAGTTCCGGGGCGGGGTGAGCCCAATAGAAATACTTACAAACCACCAGGGTGGGTGTCCCCTGATCAGAACGGTGAGGGGATCGGGTGGAGGGGGCCCTTGGGTGAACTTCACAGGCCCAAGAGGGGGTTGGATAGAGGGGGGCTCGGGGAGCCTCGAAGACCCTGCTTGGGTCCTGCTGGTGCTGTCTGCTCGGCCCTGGCAGCCTCCGCCTCCCTGGGGGGCCAGGAGCCCATTTTAGGTAGAAAGGGGCGCCCAAGAGGCTCTGAGAGGGACCCTGCTCAGTGCCACCGCCCCAGGGCCTCACCCGGGAGGCGCTAGTCCGGCTCAGAGGCATCAAGTCCAAAGTGGGGAGGGCTGGCCGTCCACACCCGCAGGTGCCACCGGGGCTGGCAGCAAGGAGGGGGATGCAGGAGGCGGGAGGGGGGACAAGCAAGCAAAGCAAACACGGGACTCCGCTGAAGCTGGTGGCGGGGACAGCCGGGCCCCGTCCCCGCCCAGCGCAGGGCGGCCCATCCCCTCGGAGCCCAGGGCCACCTGCTCCGCCAGGTCACCGCAGGGGCCGGGGGAGGGGCTGGCATGCTGGGCGGGGTGAGGGCGAGGCCCGGCGGCTGGGGTCCGGTCCAGTCGGGTCTACAGGCTGCAAGCCTCGGGCAGCGAGCGCTTGCGCAGCTCCTTGCCGGGCTTGGGTGGTGGGGGCGCGGGTGCGGCCGGGGGCGCCTCCGGCAGCTGCAGGACCGCGTTCTCCCCCGGCCGCACCCGCAGGTAGGCCTTGACCTTGTGGTGCCGGGCCTTGCCGTCGCTGAAGTCGATGACGCGGCACTCGTAGGTGCCCTCGTCCGTGGGCTTCACCCGCGACAGTCGCAGCTTGTGGGAGATGTTGCTGCCCACCACCTTGACCACCTGGGGGCGACAAGAAGGACCGTGAGGATCATTGGAGGCTCCAGCAAAAGCAGCCAGGCTGTCCCCACCCCAAGGCTGGGTCCCGGACACTGCCAGGAAGGGACCCCAAGGGTGGCACAAGGGCAGTTAAGGAACAAATGGACAAACTGAAGCAGTGCTAATGCCCATTAAAGAACAGTGGGTCCTGCCAGTGGAATACTGCCCAGCCATGAAGGTGAGGCTGGATCCAGCCAGTCCGGCTGTGTGCACAGTCCTTGCAAAGCTATTGGGCTGTGCTGTTCACCAACACCAACAGAACCCTCTGGGCATAAAAGCCTCTGTGCAGAGGAGCTTAGACTCTGGAGCGAAGCAGTCCTCTCACAGCAGACAGCCTGTGGAGCTCTGGAGGAATTCAGGACTGGGTACACAGCAAGGTGGAAGCTCCTTTTCACATTTATCTACCTGGGTCTCCACCTGGGTGGGGAGTGTGGTCAGAGAACAACTTGCAGGAGCAGTTCTGTCCTACAGTGTCGGTCCCTGGGATCAAACTCAGGTAGTCATGCTTCGGGGACAGAGCCTTTACCTGCTGTGCCATCTCACTGACCCAAGCTCTAGTTCTTTAAGACACAGGCTGATGACCACTTTAGCAGGGCATTCCATGGAGGTGGAGCTAGAGTGTTGTTTGTCTTTGTGAAGTTCTGGCCTTTTATTGCATTTTGCTGGATTATAGCACCACACCCGGCTCTTGATTGGGTTTTTAATTCTTCATTTTACAGTTGGAGCTTAGCTGTCCTAGGTCAAGTACATCCAGCTTGGCAAACATCTCTTTCATGTTTGCGCTGTGGAACTGCCATGCAGAGCACCAAAATTCACAGCTTCCCAAAGCCTTGGGCCCTTCTGTGCCAGTGCTTACTCCCCACTGGGACCTTTTTGCTTCTGTCACCATAGTCTTTCTAGAACTCTCTAATGGGGCCTCTTCACCATGTATGGCTTCTCTCACACAATACAGTATTGGTGGTAGTTCAGCTAGCTCTTTCTGTTGCTGTGTAATATTCCATCCAATGATCACACCACAGCCTGTTTATCCAGTCTCCTATTGGTCAGCATTTGGTAATTTCTAGATTGGCACTCTCATGAACCAATCTGCTGTGACTCTAACCCTGCTGGGAACTTTTTTTCAATAAGAGAAAAGGCAGTTAGAATAAAATTGGGGAAGCTGGTTGATGAGACTCTGATCTATTTTTGTAAATTTCTATAAGTCTATAGTTCAAAATAAAAAGGGTTTTTAAAGGGGAGGAAGTTGGGCCTAAGGAGGCGGTGGGGTGTGAGTGCCTTTCTTGCTTGGATGGATTGGCAAAGTTCAGCTCTGTCAGGCCCCCCCCACCCTGAACTGTAGTGTCCCCCTTCTGAATGGCCCCAGCTAGCCTGTGTTTGCTAACCTCCAGCTGTTGGGTGGCAAAGTCCAGTTTTGAGCCCCTACTGATCCCCCAAAGTGAGGGTTCAGGGGCAGAGGATGGTCTCTGAGCGGTGGGGTGGCCTGCAGACATGTTTCCCAGCCTGCACCAAGACACACACGTGACTTCTAACCATCTTCCTCCTACTTCTTGCCATCCACTATCAGATGTGAAACTCCTGGGTGCAGGGCCTTTGCACAAGCTGCAGCCTACCTATCTTTACCAGCTTTTCCTTTGTGTGTCTGGTGCCTGCCATTTCTCTCCCTGAGTAAACAGTGACTACCAGGAGGGTGGCAACCCATCCCCCATACCCCCGCCCCACCACAGACAGAGCCTCCCACTGGTCACCACCCCCCAGGAAACAGGAAAACACCCATATGTGATAGTGGTACAGCAAGAGGCACTGTAAGACACAGGCAGAACTTTCCAGTGGCAAACAGCTGCCCCTATGGGCATGAGAAGGTGCTCCCTCCCTAGTGGAAGGCCCCCAGCTGGACCCCATCCTGCGGCTGTCTTCCATCACCCTGACCAAGGGCAGAGAGAGGCCCCGTGGTCCCGCCTTGCTCTTGGTCGAGTTAGAAGCCATTGCAAATGCGCAGCGGGAGCGAATTACCTCAACATCTGTTTCCCTCACGGATATTAATTATCCTTCATTTGTCAACCCTACAAGGCGCTAATGGAGTAATAATGCGCAGCGCTGGGAGCAGGCACTCCTAGGGGGAAGGAGCCCTGCGCCCCGCCCTCAAGGCGCAGGCAGAGGGGCGCTGAAGCCCCAACCCTGGCTGTCAGCTCCCTCCTCTGCCTCCTGGAGGCCAAGGGCGGCGGCTGCCTTCAGAAGGCCAGTGCTTCCCGCAGAGGATAGGCGGAGACAGACTGGCCTCTCACCGGCACCCCGGCCGCGGTCCTCCTGAGCTACGCTCATGTATTCATTCAACAAACGTGGCTGAGCTGGCCCGGGGGCTGACCGTCCAGGGCAGAAGCCAGAGGAAGGCGAGGCCGCAGCCGGGTGCCCCATCCTCAGAGTGCGTCGAGGGCAAAGGACCAAACCACAGCCACCGGTGCTGGGGACTGTGTGCCCGAATCTCCCCTAGAAACCTCCCCAGCGCCCCGAGGAGGGTTGGTAGCATTCCCCACTGCCTGAAGGAGACAAGTGAGCCGCCCCCCGCCACACCCCGGGGCGAGGCCTCGGCACAGAAGCCCCGGCCACTTCACGCTCCAGCCCCGTCGGCCTCCTGTGTCCCAGGGGAGCCCCGCCCCAAGTCTCATCAGGGGCCCGCGGGGCTGGAGAGCGCTCCACTCCGCCGCAGTCTTCTTAGGGTGACGGACGCCTGCTGGGCTTCCTCACGAATACGTGCGACCGAGAGCGGCCGGAGGAGGAGACACCCGCAGGGCGGTCGGGCCGTACATCATAATCACAACGCGCCATCGACAGGCCTCGGCGATTAAGCACCTAATCACGCCGAAAGAGCCGGGCCGGGCCGGGCCTGACCGCCAGCCTTCTGCTGGCCACGGCCACACAGCCGGGGATGTGTCCTCCCCGCTGGACCGGGAGGAATGGCCATCTGTGCCCACGTGTGACCTTGCCTCAATGCCCCACGGGGACACCTGAGCCTGGAAGGTGTGAGGTAGGGGATGGCCTGTGCTTCCGCTGCCCCCTCACCAGTCCCTGGGCAGGTTCGGAGCCTAACTCAGGGAGCTCCCGGCCCTGGGCTCACCACCTCCAGTCCAGAATCCCACTGCTCCTGCCAGAACATGCCAGACTCCGCCCTTCTCTCCAGACCCCTCCCTTTCCTCCCCAGGAGCCAGCGCAGGTCCTGACCCTCCCAACCGGATCCTCACCTCTGAGGTCTCCCCAAAGCTCCTCTTCCACTGGTCCCACTCGCTCTTCCACGTACAAGTGGGCCCATGACTCAGGACTGGCACAACACCAAGGGCCTTTGACGCCTCAACTCCACCCCTGCAGGGAGTCCCCAGGCCTATGACAGCTCAGGCCCCTGCCACAGGCTTCCAGAGACCAGCCATTCTCCTGTGGTGGTGGCAACAGGCAGCTTTCCTTTTTTCTCATGGGAATAGTACATAACCGCCCATCTCCATCTCCCACTCAGGCTTGGGGAGTGGATGTCAGCGACCGTGGCTTTCTTGAAGTATCTTCTGCCTCAGGTCCACTCCACAGTGGCCTCAGTCATCACTCCACAGTGGGGCCTGGGGAACTTCTTTTTCTTTGGAAATTAATTTGGGGTGGGGCACAGGCAGCAGGTCTCCACATTGAGAGATGGAAGCTTCAGGCACTGAGCTCAGGACCCGGGGATCGGTATCACGCCGTGTATCAGCCCCATACCAGCCCCCGAGCCTCGGCTGAGGGACCCAGCCTCCACTACATTCCCATGGCCTGCAGATGCCCAGGACCCCGCCCCTACAAGGCTCAGGGCACCGGTGGCCTGCTGGTCATGTTCAAGGTCTGGGAGGTTTGCTGTGGTCTGCCTAAAGCCCTAGGCTGTGGTTCTAGTTAAAGCCCTGGTTTGATCCCCTTGACAGCCTTACAAGTGGGGATGGTGCTGACTTATTGATTTAAGTCATTCCCCATAAGACCAACAACATGACTCAGTGGGTAAAGGTGCTTGAGGACCTGAGTTTGATCTCTGAGACCCACATTGTAGAAGGAGAGAACCAACTCCCACAAGTTCTCCTCTGACCATTGTATTAGAGCCAGTGATCTCCAGACAGTTGCCAGCTCTCTCCACCTCTCACCCATTTCCAGATCCCAAGACAGGCAAAGGAGTCATGATTTCCCACTCACATAAACCACTACCTTTCACACAGGCCAATCACTAGCACTTTACAGTTTCCACTGTTTTCTTATACCAGTTAATTCCAGAAACCAGAACCAGGGCTCAGCTCCTGGCATGCTAAGCACCAGCCTGATGGTGTCCTAACAGCCCCCACCTGCTGCCAGGAAAGCCAACCTTGAGTCTGTGCCTCCTCAGGATTCTGTGCAGCACCCACAGGTTCAGAGGCATCCCTCCCTGCACTGCACCTGAGTCTCCCACAGGCCCTGTGGGTTCTGGATTCTCTGAGTTCCCTCACTGACTCATGTCACTGGACTCCCACATGTGCACCATGGTAACAATACACACAGATCTGTTTGTAGGTACATGCCTGTGTGAGAGAGATAATCAACTGTAAACATCTACTGGGCACCTTCTATGTGCCAGGCACTATGTGCCAGGTTCTGTACTGGGTCCACTGACTAGACAGACACAACGCAATACTTACAGAGGAGGATGATAGGCTAATACATGGCCAGCAGGGAAGGGGAAGGGACACAACTGTGACTGTGTCCAACATGGCTCCCTCAGCTGAGCAGTAAAGGGAAAGAGGGGAACAGCTTTCTAGGCAGAGGGCCTGGCCTGTGCAAAGGCCCAGGGATGGGAGGAAATGGGATGAGCCTGGGCATTGGCAGAGTGATCACACACAGCCTCGAAGACCAAGGAGAAAAGTTTTCACCTTTTTCTAAGACGTTAAGAAGCCAGGCTGCAGGTCTGGCCTCTGCACTTAGGAACACTGGCTTGCATGGCTGACTGTAAAAGGCTAGGCCTGGTACCAGACCCTGGAGCCCAGCTGGTTGGGGACTATGTGGGGTGGACTGAGGGTGGCTTCACACTTCCACAACCCATGCATTTTATTTAACTAATTAGTGTTGGATTCCTCTCACATGGAGCCAGCAGCCTGGGATTATAATCCTCTCTATCAAGTAAATGATTCTGTCCTTTGCCAGAGTCACTCCTGAAACTACAGACACAGTTGAGGCAAAGGGTGTGTCCACAAGAGGAAGAGGTGTTAGTACACTCTCAGACCTCTGCCTGTGGGGCTCATGGTATGTGTGTAGGGGCTAAGAAACGGGATGAAACGGGAACATGCCCTTGGCGGAGGGCAGGAGGGCTAGTCCCCTCTGCTCCCATTTCACCTCCTTTTCTCAAACTTGCCTGCCTCCTCCAGGCTGAGCCTTGGGTGTCTGGGCTCCACAAAACTCACAATTTTCACACTCTAGCTCCCTGGTGTCCCTGGCCTTGCTGGGCTCTGGCAGAGCCTGGGGACAAGAGGCTCAGCAACACTGGTCACTCGGAGTCATCTCTAGCTAGTTTTGACCCTCCAGCCTCAACTGCAGAAATGGACAAACACTTGGCCCTTCCTGCCCAGTGTGGCTACACTAAATGAGTGGATGCATAAGGCCCAGCCAGTCCAGAAGTCCCTGCACCTGGGAGTCACATCACGAAGGGACCCAGGACCAAGGACCTTGAGATGCTGTCAGTCATAATGAGCCAAAAAAGCCCACTCAGCCTCCTGAGACCTTGTAGCTTCCCCAAATGACAAATGGGGCTGAGCTGCACACAGAGTACTGAAGAGCACTGGGCCTTGGCCTGCCAGGGGAGAATGCGTCTTCTCTTCTGTCATTTTTTTCTGCCTGTCATTCAATGAACTTGAAAAATTTCTGGCCTTAAAAACAAAACAAAACAACAACAACAAAAAAAACCCACAAGAAACAGAACCAGGGCATTTTCCCCTTTCTCGGTTTTTGGGTTTTTTTCCCCCCTCTTCCATCTTCTTGCCCAAACTCCCTTCTGAAATGGACCAAATTTTTTTTTATTATGGTCAGTCCTCCGCTAGAGTGTTTGTGAGAAGTCATTATCAAAACTCACACTTATTTTGGTGGCGTCCTTCCCCGAGTCCTCCTGCTGAGAGGCTTTTAGCTGTTGGGAGGGGGAGGGACAGAGAGCAGAGACAAAGTGTTAGTACAGGCAGGGGTGGGGGACACACCAGGGTGGCAGAGGACAGTTAGGACAGTGGTAAAAGGAGTTGGATTTGATAAGTGCATAATGTGTGCAGCTAGCCAGCACTCAGGAGACAGAGGCAGGTAGATTTATGTGAGTTCAAGGCCAGCCTGGCCTACACAGCAAGGTCCAGGCCACCATATCCAATCTAAATAGATTTTTTTTAAAAAAAACAATATTCTAGGGACTGAAGAGATGGCTCAGCAGTTAAGAGCACAAACTGCTCTTGTAAAGGACCCAGGTTCAATTCCCAGCACCCACATGGTGGCTAACACCTTCTGTAACCCCAGTTCAAGGGCAATCCAACAGCCTCTTCTGACCTCTGTGGACAATGCATGACATGGGTGAACTTACATACATGCAGGCATTACATTCATACACATAAAATTTAAAAATATTAAAAATACATATTCTAGGAGCTGGAGAAATAGCTCAGTGGTTAAGAGCACTTACTGCTCGTCCAGAGGACCTGGATTTGGTTCCCAGCACCCACATGGTGGCTAATACCCATCCTTAACTCCAGTTCCATGGGATCAGATGCCCTCTTCTGGTCTCTGAAGGCATTGCATGCATATGATACATTTACATACATATGGGCAAAACACTCATACACATAAAAATATATTTAAAAAATTTAAGAAAATATTCTGGATAAAAGCCATGAGGTCTGGAGTTGAAGTCCCTCAGCTCTGTGTCCATTGGGAATTTTGGGGAAGGTCAGACAAAAGGAAATGAAGGGGGTACTTGGGAAACTGACCACAGAGCCAGGAGTTTGGATTGCTGAGGATATAAAGGGAAGAACATAGGTGGCACTGCCCTAGGAGGGCATCAGTCTGTGCCCAGTCTCTATCGGGGAATGTATCAGTACTTCTAGGAGTTCATACACCTGAACGTACATTTGTAGCAGATGTGGTTGGAGCCCTGGCCATGTCCTGGAGGCTTCTGCCCTTGAACACCCAAGAACATCCTTGAATACCCTCAAATTCCCAGAAACTCCCAAGCATTTCCTCTGGTCACCAGGATCCTCCACATTGCATGTGGCAGGCCATCCAGAAATCAAGACAGAGTTTACTGTATACTTGTGTAGATACTGGAGGGTGTGTGTGTACATGCTGCTTTGCGGATGTGAAGGTGTGTACACAAGTGTTCACGTAGGGGGCGGGAGGGATGGCTCAGCGGTTAAGAGCACTGACTGCTCTTGTAGAGGTCCCCGGTTCAATTCTCAGCACCCACATGGCGGCTATGAACTGTTCTTAACTCCAGTTCCAGGGGAATCCAAAACCTTCTTCTGACCTCCGCGGCACTGCATGACACGGGTGTATTCACATACATGTAGGCAATACACAAATACATAAAATAAAAATTTAAAAAAAAAAGTGTTCATGTAGGTATGTATGTGTATGTGTCCGTGTGCTGCTGTGGAAACGCATGCCTGGGATGCCAGTGTCCCTGAGGGTGTCCCCGAAAGCAGACTCAGGGCGCAATACGGACATGTACATGGTTCATTTAGGAAGCGAGGTCAGAAAGTACAGCAGAAGAGGTGGTGAGCAGGACATTAACCAGCCAGCTACGCCTGAACTGAGAGCTTTACCCTGCCAGGCACCTTGGAAACTGTAGTTTAGAACTCTCATCAATGACACAGCCACAGGGTGAGGGAAGCAGGGAGTTTATTCACCACCCCTTCCCATCTCTGAGTGGAGGCTGCCCTCATCTGCTTTGCTGACAGCAGGTGCCATTTCCCTGAGAAAATCCTTAGGCAGAGTGGCAGACTGGGCTAGTGACAGGGACAGGGGCATGCAGGGTATAGTACTCTGACATCTGCTGTGGCTATGTGAACTCATGAGTCTGTGTGTGTGGAGGGGTAAATGTATATGTCATGACTCCATTCAGAGAGCCAGTCTACATGTGAGCATGCATGCTTGGAATGAATTTGAGAATGAACTCTGCAGCAACGCCACCAGTCACATGCAAAAACATCACCAGTGTGGCATGGAGAGGTGGTGGGAAGTGTCCCGAGGCCCTGAAGCAGGTGTCATCCTTCTGGCCTCAGTCTCCCTCACACTAGGGGAAGGTGTCTCTGTGTGGCAGTTCAGGGGCTAAGCCGCGCTCTATTTGTCCCTTTTAAGAGCACACATTATTTTGGCCATCACCTGCCCCAACCACAGCAGGAAAGGAGGGCCCAACTGGGTGCTGCTGAGGACAGTGATATTGGGCATAGAGTTCCCCCACCCCCCAACTGGGTGGGGCTTCCCTAGTTCCCTGAAGTGTGCCCCGGGGCAGAGTACCTGGTTGGAGGCCCATGTTTGCTTGTCTGTCCAGTCCTGGTGGCTGCGCACATACCACCACTGGATCTCCAGTGAGTAGGACGGAGAGCCACTGCCACGGAAGGAACAGGCCATCTCCACATCCTCGCCTGTCCTTGCTGTCATGTCATGGGGCGTCTCTGTGAAGAGTGCTGTGCAGGGAACAGGCAGGTGAGGGCTCAGAAACAGGAGGCTGGACACAGGGCAGGTAAGTATGGGAAGACACTGTCTGAGGGTCCAGAGGAGAGATGGAGGAGAGTTGGCTTAGAAATGAGCCAGATTCTTGGGTTGGGCATAGTGGCCTCTGCCTTTAATCCCAGCACTCTGGAGGCAGAGGCAGGCAGATCTCTGTGAGTTCAAGGCCAGTTGGTCTACATAGTGAGTAGCAGGTTGGCTAGGGCTACCTAGTGAGACTCTATTTCAAAAAAAACAAATAATTCTTCCAGATTCTTCCATCCACCCTGCCCAGTGATCCCTGTCCAAGAGTGTGGAAGCTAGCTCCATCTTCTAAACTCAAATCCCACCTCAGGGTTCCCACTGCCCCTGGAGTGCACCCAGACCCCACTTTGGTCCCCTGGTGGCTCTGTCAGGCTCCTTTCTCCCTATTCAGGGTCCTGTCTCCTCTCCAGGCTCCGTTGTTCCCTGCCTGTCCCTCCTGGCTCCTATGGTCACTCATCTCTCAGTTCCAAGTTGCCTCTGTGGGTCCCTAGTGTCTTTGTTCACATGGCCATCACATTGGCTGCCCCAGGTGGAGGCAGGTGGCGCAGGGGAACAGTGGCAGCTGCCCGGCCAGGCCCAGCTTCCACCAACAAGCAGTTCCCCAGAGCTGGCAGGAACCACCCCTACATGTGCCCCATGCTGTGTTCCACTTCCCAGACCCAGCACTCTCCCCACCATATGCTCTGGCTCTAGGCTCTATCGCCCCAAACAAACAAATGCTGTCCTGAGATGCATTCCTTCCCCCTCTCAGGAGAGATTATTCCACCTGGAAGATGGATGATGCCTGGCTACTGCAGGTCACTCCAGGAATGTGATGTTCATCAGCCCCCACCAGACCGCTCAGTCCTCCACCTCCAGCTCAGAGGGACATACACTTCCAGGTCCTGAGGGCCTCCTGTTCCTCCTGTCCCAGAAAGTGGGGCACCTGGATTAAGGGGGATCAGCTTCTTCCCCTCCCCAGGACAATGGGGGCTTTGTATGATCAGGTTTGACAACTTCACTAATGTGGAAGCTTCTCTTTTTCTGCCCATGTGGAGTTTACTTAAGCAATCGTCTGTGGGCTGAGGAGAGAGCTTACCAGGTCCCTTTCCCCTAAGGTCAAAGTATACAAAGTTTCTTGTGCAGGTATGTTGGGGGTGTGGAAGGGCTTATCCTAGGTGCATAAACAATGGGTGGGTGCAGGGGGCTGTGAGCTGCCTTTCCACCCAGCCACCCCAAGAGCTGGAGCTGTCCTTGTCCCATCAGGAGGAAAGCCAGGCTCCTATAGGGTATGTGCCACTACACCTGCCTTTGATATGATTTTTTTTCCCCATTTATAAAATGACATTTTGGGGGCTAGAGAGACAGCTCAGCTCTTGGCGAGGACTTGAGTTTAGTTCCCAATACCCACATGGCAGCTAATAACTCTCTGTAACTCCAGTTCCAGTTCTTCTGCCCTCTGTGAGCATTGCACATATGAGTACACTTACATGTATGCATGCAGGCAATACAATCATACACATAAAATAAAAATAATAGGGGCTGGAGAGATGACTCCGTGATTAAGAACCCTGGTTGTTCTTACAGAAGACCTGGGTTCGAATCCCAAAACCCACATGGCAGCTAACAACTGTCCATAACTCCAGTTCCAGAGGATCCGACAGCCTCTTCGGACCCCCGTGGGCATTGCACAACATGGGTGCACTTACCTACATGTAGGCAATACATGCATACACATAAAAAATAAGTAAAATTTAAAAAAATAATAAAGAATGCTATTTGTACGAGTATTTGCTTGCATGTATGTAAGTCCACCCATGTCATGCAATGCCCTCGGAGGTCAGAAGAGGGTGTCGGATCCCCTGGAACTGGAGTTATGGACAGTTGTTAGCCACCATATGGGTGCTGAGATCTGAACTCAGGTCCACTGCAAGACCTGCCAGTGCTCTTAACTACTGAGCCATCTCTCCAGCCCCTGACATAGCATTTAAAAATAAAATTAATTAATTAATTAATTAAATAAATAATGAAGCTGGGTATGGTAGTGCACGCCTTTAACCCCAAAACTCAGAAGGCAGAGGCAAGCGGATCTCGGTGAGATCAAAGCCAGCCAGGTCTACATAGCAAGAGTCAACAGGGAGACCCTGTCTCAAAAAGATTAAAAAAAAAAAAAAAAAAGTAAATAAATAAAACTACTTGCTAATTAGTTTAAACTTCAATGTAACCAGTGTAACCATCCATGTACAGGAAATGGCTACTGAGGGGAATATGACACCTGGTTGATGACGCGCTGTTTTCACTTATGTGGAGAAGGTCATGGTCCACACCTGATGGTCCTGGGCCGGGCCCTAGTGTCTGGAGCCTTCTCAGCATAGCAGAATCCAAGGGAGTCACCAGGAGGAGCCAACAGAGCCCTAGGATGGAAGACCCTGGATCCAGGGCCCTCACACCCAGCCCAGGAAGAGAGTGGCCAGATCCTCCTGTTGACCAGGGATGTGAGGCTAGCCGGAAAAAGGGGACTTAGGGTACTCACTGTTAGCTCCCTGCGTGCTACTGCTGAGCCTCAGGCATCAAAGAATGACAACACCTGCCTTGTCATGAAACCATTTGGGTCAGGCTCCACCCCAGAACTGGGCAGGGGTGGGCTCCATTCATATCAGGACTGAGATGCAGCCGTGGAGCCTCTCTTCCCAAACAGGTGATTCAGGGAGTTGTGTGTGGCACATAAGAGGCTGAGGACTGTCTATGTGGCTCCAAGTGGAAGAAAGGGCAGAGGGTACCAGAGTGACCCCAGGAGGGCCCACACCTCTGTCCATTCACTTAGCTTTTCTTGGCCACAGGCCCCTGCCAAAGCAACATCAGGCCTGGGCTGGGGCTTGCAGTTTCTCCCACTGGTGCAGAATGCAAGGCCCAGGGCATGGTGTGGTCTGGGTGTCTCAGCAGCCAGGGTCAGGGAGACCAGGTCCCAGCTTTGAGTCTTTGAGACAGCCCTGCCCTGCATCCTGGGGTGGGCAGAGCACAGGACAAGCCTGCCACAGTTCACCTCACCCCTGGACCCCCCAGTAATAATCTGAGACAGTGCTTTCCAACAGAACCATGCATGGAAGAATGGAATCACACGGAGAGCCACAAGGAACACTCCATTTTCCAGTAGCTTCATGAAGAAAAGTTTTTTTTAAGTGAAATTAATTTTAATGACTTTTTTCTTTGGTCTTTTCGAGACAGGGTCTCCCAGTAGCCCAAGCTGGCCTGGAACTCACTATGTAGACCAGGCTGGCCTTGAACTCACAGAGATCCACCTGCCTCTGCCTCCCAAGTGCTGGGATTAAAGGCGTGCACCACCATGCCCAGCTTTAATAGTGTATTTTATTTAAACCCATATCAAAAAATTATTATTTCAGCATGTAATAAAATTACTAATGAGACATTTTACATTCTTTTTTGGGTGTTAAGTCATGGAAATCGAAGTATATTTTATGTGTACAAAGCATACCTCAATTTGGACCAGCCAGTCATGTTCTGGGTATTTGGTGGCTGCTAGGCAGATGTCCTAACAGGCAGTAGCTCTCTCACCTGTCCCTGTGGCTCAGAGGAAGCAGCCATGGCCCAGCACAATGTACAACCCTCTCCCACCCCATAGTAGAGTTTGGACTTGAACCCAGGTCAGCCTGACTCCCTACCACAAGACCGTTTTTGTTTGTAAGGCTCTTTCTACAAAGGAGCCAACCTGGGCTGGGATGTAGCTGTTATTAGAGTGCTGACCTAGCATGTACAAGACCCTGTGTTCAATACCTAGCACTGTATAAACAGGGTGCGGTGGTTTACAGCTGTAACCCCAGTACTCAGGATGTAGAGGCAAAAAGATCAGAGGTTCAAGATCATCCTTGGCTACACCTTGGCTACATAGTGAGTCTAGGGCCAGTCTGGGATTCAGAAGACTCTGTCTCAAAGGAAAAAGTGATTCCTGCTAACCAGCCCTGCAGCCCTGTGTGTGTGTGTGTGTGTGTGTGTGTGTGTGTGTGTGTGTGCAAGGAGCTGCTTCATCAGTGTGCAGGCCTGAGCCAGCATCTTCCCAGCCTGAGGTAATCAGGTAGACTTCCCTAAGGTGGTTTCTCCCCACTCAGCCCCAGGGCAGCAGGCCATCCTGAGCATGGAGTGAATGGGGGCTTTAGGTGGGAGGTCAGAGGAAGGAGCTGCTGTGATTGCAGCTGCCAGTTCTGCCTCCCCATGGGGCTCTGGTCCCAGGGTCTCTCTGGTCCCCTGAGCCCCATCAGGAGCTCCCAGGTAGGGTGGGGTGGTGAGGCCTGCCTGGGCCCCTTCAGTTTCAACTACGTGGAGACAGGGAAATGTGACTGCAGGACCAGCAGGGAAACCAGGCTCTGTGCATTTGAAGATGCATCATCTAAGTCTGCCTACCCACAGTCAGCAACCTGAACATGTGTTCTAAGGCCCTAAGGAGCCATGTGGGTCTCACATGTGCAGGGAAAATCACAGGAGCACTGGGTCAGGAGCCAGGCAGTGACAGTGGAGCCTGCTTCTGCCAACTGTCTTGCTCTTGCCTCAGAGAGCTTCCCCCCCTTGAGTATCAGTTTGTCCCTCTGTATGTCGGGCTAAGTCCTGAGGAGACTCTGAGAATGTGGCCTGTGTCTTCAGGCTGTGCTCTGGCCTTGGGAAGGGGGCAATCTGGGCAGGCTTCAGAGAGGAGGTGAGCTGGGTGCAGACTGATGGCAGGGGGTGAGGCTTAGGAAGCGAGACTGCTATGGGAGTAAAGGTAGATCGGGGTTGGAGGGCACTGAGCTCTGCAGAGTCAGGTATTTGGGGAGGCTACATGGCTCTGCAGGGCCATGGACCACAATCCACTGTGAGCCCAGCATTGCAAAGACCCCATCTCTGATGCTCTCATCTGCCCCACCTGACAGATGCAGAAGGGAGCTCAGAGAAGTGAGCCAGTTGC